AGAAAGCCAAACACTGCATGTTCTCACTCATAGGTGGGAATTGAACAATGAGAACACCTGGACTCAGGAAGGGAAACATCACACACCGGGGCCTGTTGTGGGGTTGGGGGAGCGGGGAGGGATAGCATTAGGAGATATACCTAATGTAAATGACAAGTTAATGGGTCCAGCACATCAACATGGCACATGTATACATATGTAACAAACCTGCACGTTGTGCACATGTACCCTAGAACTTAAAGTATAATAAAAAATAAAAATAAAAAAGAAGTACATTTTATGCTTAGTATAAACACACATAATCTATCTAATCTGTCATCTATTATAAAACAAAGGTTTCACAAACCAACTTCCATTCTTAACTGTTTGTGACAAACCCTGATTGTTCTATTACAATTTATTTAAAGCCCATTTGCATGGATATAAGTTCTTTCATATAATGACTCTTCCTAACTTTTCATTCTTATCTGCAGAATCTCTTTCATACTATCTCAGTCTCCAGCGCTGTTCAACAAACATACATGCTTGTGCAAACATGCAGAAATACACATGTATGCACATACACAATGCTATTTCTCTGATTTTTCATATAGATGAGATTTCTTATCTTCTGCAACAAATTTTGATAACTGCACATTTCTTAAAGTTTTATTGTTCAGTACATAAAAGTAAAGAAGTTGGGATTAAGCAAAGAGAGCTGGGTTATAAGCTGTTGAGGGAAATTTAAGATTTTTTTTATCCTTTGGGGGAAAAATGGTATTAAGGTACTGCTAAGGTAGTGAATATATCTGGCTCAAAATTATTAACCCTAATAAGATATTGTCAATTGGACTTTTTCGTAAGAGTATTTCCATTCATTAAATTATCTAACTAGGTAAGGTAATGTCTTGAACCATCCTCCTTAAAAAAAAAAAAAAGAAAAAAAAAAAAACTTAGAGAAAAATGAGCCACTGAATAATCTTCACCCCCACCCCCTGTGAGACACTACAGGTCTGAGGGGATGAGAATATGAAAACACAGTTCTGTTTTGGTGAACAGAAAATGAAGAGCACTTATGAATATCTAGGGTATGGGAGATAGACTGACAGCTGCCATTAGCATTACAACTATCTCCATGTAAGGATATCCAAAGAGCCACCTCTAATCCATGCTCCAGTAGAAGTGTCCATTGTAAACTCATAGGCATCTCAAGCATGGAAGAAGGCAGCTTTTAGGCATGGAGAATTGTAAGATTAGGTGACCATTGCCACTGATACCAGTTCTGTTTGTCCTTTGCTTAATGTAGATGCTATTAAAGAGTATTTAATTCAGTCAATGAAAGAATTGAAATAGACTAAATGTTTAAAGTCAGCCAATAAAGTTAATTACATAAGACTTATTTAAAGTGCCTAATTCAGATAACACCATCTCTGAAAAATGTTCTATCTTGAAATGTCCTATAGAGTTTCCTGTTTTAGTGAAATTCCTATAGATAAAAGTATTCAGTGCTTTTCCTCAGCTATTTCTGATCCTTACACACATGTTCCCAATGCTACGTTCATATTGAATTGTAATTTACAGAGTAATTTGCATGTGGCAATCAGGATTACTAACTCCTATTAGACTCCCTTGTATTACCCAAAATATAATGTAATAATAATAGTACTTACTTGTGCATGCAATTTTACAATTGAATGGCATATGAGAAGGAGTTTACCTATCACTTCTCATATTTCTATCCTGTAAAAGACTAAGGACATGGAATTTGCGCTTGTGGTCTTTCATTGGGAACTTTTAGAAGGAATGTTTTGTTTTGTTTTTGCCATAGAGATGAAGAGCAGATCAGAGCTTCCATGGGGCTCAGGACTTTGTGCCTCAATAACAAAAGTTGAGCACATCCACCCTCCTTCATGCCTCATGTCCAGAACAGCAGTGCACCACTGGCATTATCACCTAAGTGTACAACAAGGCAAGATCACCTTTGACAAGCTCTCCCTTTCTTCTGCCTCCCTTTGAGATTGTGAGGCCTGTCTTCACTCTGTTCTTTGTGTCTACAATAAGAGTGGCTGATCTACTATCTTTCTCTTCATATGTAGCTGTTTTATATTTTCGTTGCACTTACTACTCTGCTTCTCTTTGTGGGCACACCTGTTTATGTGACCCAAGACCTCTGCTTTAGCCCCAGGCCTGGATAAATTTGCCATTTAAGTTGCTTACTGCAGTTATCATGTGCTTGCACAGACAACCCAAATTGTCATCTGTTTTCTATTAGGCTACCAAATACTTAGCCATGCTCATCAGTCAGATCTTTGACGAGGAAGTGGAAGAAGTGAAAAGCCAGAACCCTATCAATTGCCAGCATTTATTTATGTATCTCTGTTCCTTACAGCAGTGAGCCCTGTTCTAGCCTATCATAGGCACTGCACATAGAATTCTATTAATATCTGTTGTACTGAGTTAAACAGAATGCACAGAGAAAATGATACATAACATCTCATCCATAATGCAAATGCTACACTACCAGTGTTTTTCAATTGCTGCTTATCTCTAATGACCTTCTTAGCTCTGCTACACACTGAGAAGACACAAATCACAAGAAAGGAGGACAAAATCTTACCATGTAGAGGTAGATTAGGGCAGATTCTCCATTATGTCTGTCCTTGAGAAAACTGTTAGGATCACCATAAAAAGTACATTGTAGAGACTCCAATACACTGTGAATAAAGGAGTTAGAGGAGGTGAATGAGCAGAATCATTGGTGGAGAAATAATTATTTGGCTGATGCAGTGAAATATCTGAGTCCCTCTTTACTGACCAACAATCGACCTCAGAAAAGTATAGCGTCCCTTCACCTAAGTGTGTGTAGGATGGATTAGAGTGAGGTGGTCCTCAGCTTAAATTTAGCTTACATGTTAATGGTTAGTGATGCCAAAATAAAAATTTAAGTGGGAAAAATGAAGCTCATGGGGTTATGCTTGGTGCAATTGTTGTAAAGAATGTTTCTAGGGATAATTTTTGCTGACGAAATAAATCACTCTCAGTAATTCATTGTCAATTAAGGATGTGACTGAGAACAACATAGTTTATTGTAATTTTCAATAATAAATAACGACTTTGATTACTGGAATAATTTTAACTATCTACATTCATAAATGTTACTGATGAATTTCTTTTAAAAATATCCCTATGTTGGCCAGGTGTGGTGGCTCACGCCTGTAATGCCAGTGCTTTGGGAGGCCCAGGTGGGTGGATCACAAGGTCAGGAGATCGAGACCATCCTGGCTAACATGGTGAAGCCCCGTCTCTACTAAAAATACAAAAAATTAGCCGGACGTGGTGGTGGGTGCCTGTAGTCCCAGCTACTCAAGAGGCTGAGGCAGGAGAATGGGGTGAACCCGGGAGGTGGAGCCTGAAGTGAGCCGAGATCGTGCCACTGCACTCCAGCCTGGGCGACAGAGCCAGACTCTGTCTAAAAAAACAGACAAAAAATCCCTATGTTACTTCAGTAGGTCCAGATTAAACTAACAACATACCGTTTTAAGGTTCTGTGCCTGATGTATTTGTATGTGTGAATGTTGGCTGGTGTTGTTGAAAATGTGTTCCATGGACCAGTAGTGCCTCCAAATATATTAGTATGTATCTGCCGTACTGAAAAAAGTGAAACCATTTTGTTTACTTTAGGATGTTTTATTTCTCCAAATGTGAATCTCACTGAGGGCAATAGAGCATGGAGTGAATCCAAAATTCATTTGTCCAGAGCACATTTTAACACAGTACATCCAGTAGCATATGGAATGGGATAAATGGTATCCCCTACCCGCAAAACATATGCCTGTGTCCTAATCCTTGGAACCGGTGAATGTTACCTTATCTGGAATAAAGGTTTTCATAGCCATACTTAAGGTTCTGGAAAATGGGAGTTGATCCTAGGTTAACCAATAGCTAACCAATGGTTAACTAATCCCATGACAAATATCTTTATAAGACAGATACTGGCCGGGCGCGGTGGCTCACGCCTGTAATCCCAGCACTTTGGGAGGCCGAGGCAGGCGGATCACAAGGTCAGGAGATCGAGACCACGGTGAAACCCCGTCTCTACTAAAAATACAAAAAATTAGCCGGGCGCGGTGGCGGGCGCCTGTAGTCCCAGCTACTCAGGAGGCTGAGGAAGGAGAATGGCGTGAACCCGGGAGGTAGAGCTTGCAGTGAGCCGAGATCACGCCACTGCACTCCAGCCTGGGCGACAGAGGGAGACTCCGTCTCAAAAAAAAAAAAAAAAAAAAAAAAAAAGACAGATACATAGTGGAGACACACCCAGGAAAGTCCATGAAGCAGAGAGATGCACAAGTCAAAGAACGTGAATAGCTGCAAGGAGGGAGAGGAGGGATTGGTCCCCAGTACAGCCGCAGGACATGCGTCTCCACCCTTAATTAGACTCTGTACTGCTAATGGCAACAACTGGGAGAGAATATACTTCTTTGTTTTAAGCCACACAGTTTGAGGCAATTTGTTACAACAGTCCTAGAAACTACTATAGCATCTTTGGCAAATATTGCCATAGGCATCTTTAAACATAGATACCTATTATAAAATATGTTCAATATTTAATTTATCTTTAAATAGTTAAATATATTATTTTTTCTTTATATATATCAATATATAGATACATATATAATTGATATAAATATATTATTATTATTGAAAATAATTCTGCCAGAAATCTTTTCCAGAATGTATTCCATATTTCCTATGGAATATGCTGATTCCTATGTCGATTTCTATACTAATAAAGGTAATTACAGAACTACATAAAATTTCTATCCTTAACTCTTCTAATAAATGTTTATCTGCATAATATGCCATTCCATAATAATTATTTATTCTATTTTCTAGAAAAATACAGCAGATACAAAGGACCTTAAAGTTCTGGTAATCAGAATATATTTCAGAATGTAATAGTAGGTTAAGGAGAATTGTAATTATCTTTAGCAGAAGGACAACAGTTTAAAAAATATCTGCAAACCTTTAAAAAGCTGTCTTTCATAAGTCATGGGGATCGTTTTTACTCTTTTGCCTGTTTGGAAAGGGAGCATCCTTGCGTAAAGCACAAATGGAAGTTTTTCATCCTGTGATAAAAACAGTAGCAGCAATGAAAACAATTGCTATCATTTATTGAGTGTCTGTCGTGTGACTGGTACTATGTTAGTATTTTACATGTATAAAACACAAAAACATCTGCAAAATGTTACTATCTTCATTTTCTGATCAGAAGTCAGAACTTCCAAGAAATTAAATCATTTTCCTAAATTTAAACATCTAGTATATACCCAAGCAGAGACCCAAGATTTTATATAGAATGTTTCCAAATCTGAATTTTTATTCCCTTTCTTATTTGGAAAAGACCTGTATTCTCACACTGAAATTACAGATAGGTTTTAATGATGACTATTTGCACACAAAATAACAGAAGAAACCAACATACATGGTTTACTCACAGAAAAGAGGATGTTCATAAAATCAAATGTAGGCAGTTGGTAGGCAGTGTGTCACTTCCATGCCTGGGATGTTCTCTGGGAGGACAGAATCTTTATAGGTAGCTGCTCCCACACGCTCTGACTATATTTGTTCATTGTTGCTTGGACTTGATATGGGCTTTCTCTATACTAGGGGTGTAATGCACAATAGATGCATTTAACAAAAAGTGATATGCTTCCATCTTTTCTTTAAAAACAAGCAATACATAGATTATCAACTTTTTCTGTTTAGCATAATATTTAAATAGGAGTCAAAAAGAGCTTATCTTTCTCATTTGCAAGCAACTTTTTAGGTAATAAGTGATTTCCTGTGGAGACATAAAGGGCAATGATCCACTTCTGCCATCAGTTTCCTCTGCTGATTTGAGGCTCCCTCTCATTTGGAATTATCCCATTTTAATAGCTAGTGAGGATAAGTTCGAATTCCCCAGCACCCATTTTTCCAATAAACTGAAAGAAGGAAATAGTCTCATTTTCTTTCCACTTAGACAGAGTTTTCATGGCATTCATGAGACTTTGACCAGGCTGTGCAATAAGTCAGTGTTGGCTTCTTAGGTGTTGTTTCCAATGGGCAAAACAGAACAGATAATCCCCAGATCATATGACTGTTTTGAGGGGTAAATAAAGATAACACATGATGAATGTACCAATACAATAACACATGATGAATGTACTAATACCACATTGATAGCTCATAGTGGTGCAATTACTCTTATAGTCTTTCCAGAATCTGCAGAATCTTGGGCACACCCTATATTATGACAACACTACCCACTTCATTCTGCAAGAATGACTGAATATTTTTTCTTCACTGGCTTTTTTTCACATTGACCTATTCCATATTATCTGAAATACTCTTATGACTTGAACTCTGTGACACCACACTACTATGTTTCATTTGCTTCTCTACTTATTATTTCTTATTCTGTTTTACAGATCTATCCTCCTTCATCCAGCGTTGTAATGGTGAAGTGCCCAAGCACACTCGCCTACATTCTCTCCTTAGGTTATTGTAGCCACATGCCAATGGCCGTCTGTTCAGTGTTGCCTATCATAATGATCTAGCCTGACATCTTCATCAGAGAAGATGAAGCAATGGTTATTGTACGTGTACTGTTGCCATTTTCACAGTCACTTCAAAGTTAACACTTGAACCGCGTTGATTACCATCCACCACCGTATCATTCTTCCTCACTAACCAACACCTCCTCCAACAGTTCTGTCTTAGTAAATAACACCAATACCTGTCATACTTAAAGAAATTGGGTGCCAGTGGTAACTCTTTCTCCATCACCCTGTCTCCCTTCTAACTGTTTAAAAGTATGGTATCACTTCCATTCACCCTCAAAATATCTTGCTAATCTCTTCAGGTCTCTCTATATTCATTGCTGTCACCTAGGGCAAACCATCACATTTTCTTACAATCTTTCTGAACAAGCTTTTTTAAAGAAGTCTGTCTGTCCCTTCATTCACCATTTTTTTCTCCATAGTGCATTAGGAGTGAACTTTAAAAAAATGTAAATTTGATTGGGCATTTTTACATTTTATTTAAATTCTTCAATATATGCCCCAAAGTCTTTATGTTGCCTTGTAACCAGCATGGTTTGGCCCCTCTTGACATCCAGTCTACATACATTTCCCTTTCACTTACAATGTAGTCTTTGCTTGTGGTGTTACAAATGCCATTCCTTTCACGAATATAACGCTTCTCATAATCACATCTGAACTCAATCTCACCGTATAAAAGATGCCTTGCTAGAGTTTCAGGGTAAGTCAGTTTCCCTGTCACTAATCTTATGGTAGCCTGTGCTTCAACTCTATGGTTCTTAAAATTGTTAGTCATTGTATTTTCATGCTTACTTAAGTATTTATCACACAGTCTATCCAAGTTCCATGAATACAGGTAAAATACTTATTTTTGATCAGCATTGTTTTCCCACTGTCTGGGGCAATTTAAATACATATTCAATAACTGTTGAATGAATGAATGAATAAATGAATTCCATCAACAAAAACGGCACTTCTTCCAAGTGAGCTGTTACTCTGGGCACACCCTTCATTGCTCAACTCCAACACCAGCCTCTTCAAATGCTGCAGGAGTATCGTGACAGTGAATAAGTCTCATGAGATTTGATGGTTTTATAAAAGGGAGTTCCCCTACACAAGCTCTCTTGCCTGCCACCATGTAAGACATAACTTTGCTCCTCCTTTGTCTTCCACCACGTGAAACTGTTAAATCTCTTTCTTTTGTAAATTACCCAGGCTCAGATATATCTTTATTAACTGTGAGAACAGTCTCTCTCCTTTGTTCATTACTGGCAGAATTAATTGCTCTCTCCTACAAGTTCCTAATAGGGTTTACTGATGCCACTCAAGCTTTTTGTAGAAGATAACCGGGCTATTTATTGGTTTTGTCAAGAGGCTGGTGAAGAAGAGAGAGACAGTGTTTACTTTCTCAAAGCCAAAATTAAGGAAATGCCTTTACTGCCGATGTCATGGTGTTTATATTGTTAACTTCCTCCTCACTTTCTCTATCACTATCTCTCCCCATCTCTGTCTCTGTTACTCCATCTCTATCCCCCTGCCTCTCTCTCTCTCCCCCTCTGAAGACTCCACATTTAGACAGACAAGTGTCAAGTGGAAGAGAGGGGACATTGAGGACAGATATCCTGAGGAGGCAGAGGTATAAGCCTCAACGGGTAACAAAATCATTTATTTGAAATGGAAGCAGAGCAAAGCAAATAGAAGGAAGCAGAAGGCGTTTTTCAACACACTGCTTCACCATATTGTTCTTTATATCACTCAGGTATCAGCTTCCATACTCACTGATTCTGGGCTATTTCTCAGGTATATGATTCTTTTCTATATTTTGACATTTGTTCTTGTCACTGGTGGAAAAAGATAGAGTCTTTGGAAAAACCCGAACATCCCTGTACATTTTAGTTGGCATGAATTTATTTGTGTATTTGGTGCTACTGCTGATCTTCCGTCATGATTTTCAGAGCCTTATAATTTCTCCCCTTGATTCAGAGATGGAAATCTTGGAGGATGAGATATTCTCAACCAGTAATGCCCTTCTACCATCACTCCTGGCAGCCCTCCGCATTTAAGTGAGCAAAGCAAGCAAGACTTCTAGTATTACCATTTGTGTGGTATCTCTATTTCAAAAGGAGACAGGAATAAACAGACTGAATATGCTGTTATATAAGACTGGCTACCCAGTATCAAAAACAACAAGGAAAAACAGGACAAAACAAAACTTTCCCTATGACACGGACTATAATAGAATGTTTGATAAGTTAAAGGACTCCTGTAAGCAAACAAGACTGGTTATGCTTTGATTTAAGAAGTAGTCTGGGGAGACTTCATGAAATATTTATATTTGGACTAAGAATATATTCTCTTAACCCTTTTATAGTATTAGCATATTATCCCAAAACACGCATTTACCTTTCCCTTACAGGTGTCACTCCTAATCTAGTTGCATTCCTCACAAGATGTTATCTCTCAAATATCAACACGTATCTGGCCAAGAAAGTTTCAACTTAATATGGAATAAATAATTCTGCAACTTATTTGTTATTATTATTTTGGGGAAAGAAAAGAACAAATTCACATGTTCATGCAAACGTAAGATTGAAACAGGAAAAATGTACAGAGATACATTCTCTCAGACTTCTGCTTCTTTTCAGGATGAAGTACCAGAACAAGACTCTCCCTCCTGCAACAAACAAATATGTAACTGGACAAAACATATGAAGCAAGTGTTTTCATGCACTAAAAAATGATCATTGCAAGATGACAGCCCTCGAAGAGAAAGAAACTCACATGATGAGTCCCATGACCACCAGCTTTCTGTTGGGGGAAAATTTACTGACTCTGTGGCAAAAAGCAAATCACAGAGATCCTGTGAAACTGAAAATGCAGAGATCAGACTATATTGCAGCTGAAGCAGTTGGAATTTTTGTGGAGCGGCCTGGAGGAGGGATCAAAGAAAAGAGCTTTGTAGAAAGCCCCAGAAGCCCATGTGTAGATCCCCTGCAAGTTCATGTTAAAGAGGTATGCACACATGCATACACGCTGTACAAGCCACCCAAGGTATTCCAGATAGCAGGTGCCACCGATTTGAGAAACAGTAAACTTAGGGTAATACTGGGCTCATTGTAGATCTCATTAACACCCATGGCAACCATTAGTGATTAGAAAGGTAGCATGGACCATGCCCTAGAGCAAAATCTACTCTACACCCACTGTAACAAACCTAAAATAAAGTTTAAAGAGATCTCAGAGATCTCTTTAACATTTGGAGCTTAAGTCTCTTAAAGTTAGAAAGGCTTATAAAACACTTGAAGTTTCTACGGATTTTCACATTTTCACAAACCAAGCATAAAAGTTTACTCAGTTCAAGGTGATTGAATAGTAATTGACTAACTGATCTGATTGCTAAAACAAGAATCAACATTTTTTGAGGATGGGTAGAAGGGTTCTAATTCTTTACACTTGATTGTGTTACCCAAAATGTTTCACATTTTTTAAATCACCAGAATTACAAAGAAAAAAGAAAATGTAACTTACGGTCAAGAAAAAAAATAATATAAAGCAAACTTTAAACTCTTTATAGATAAACACAAAGTGGTTGCTATAAAAGTTTTAAAGAACTATAAGAAAATAGTTTTAATATGTGAAGACGAAGTCTTATCAGATATACAGAAACTATAAAAAGAATGACACAGCAACTTTTAGAATAGAAAATTACCGTAACCGAAATGAAACAGTTTCTGGATGTTCCCAGCAAGAGTTTTGGGATAGAATAAAAATTTCCATAAGAAAGAAGTCAGTGCACAGTTTGGTTTCCCTGGGAAGCAGACTCTGCTGTGGAGATTAGCTAGCAGGGTCTTTTTAGGGAGTGCTCTTAGGATTAATACCCTAAAGAAAGAAGAGAAGGAATCAAGACTGGAAAGAGGGAAAAGTTGAACTGCTATGTAGTCCTATGAAGTCCTCAGCCAATCGCATAGGGAACTCTGGAGCTGGGGATGAAATTTCAGAATTCCTCAAATTGAGGTGATAGGACAGGGCATTCACGTCCCTGTGATAATCAGTCATTAACTCCTGGCTGTCTTTGGAAGAAGAAATGAGCTTGAGTGAGGCTGTTATCTTCACTAGAGTCCATTTCTTTCTGTGGAGGCCTTACAGCTGAGGGATGCCTTTTGCTAGCACTCCCTGAACATGAATGAGGAAGCCCTGCAGAGGGATCTGTCTGATGGACCATAGTCCCCATCACAGTGGACAATGTGCACCTTCTTATTAACTTCTTTGTGTAAGATCTGGGAGCACACCCCCAGGAATTCTGTGAGCCTTTCTTTCTCTCGGTCATTTATCAGAGGAAGGTCATTGGAAAGACCTCCAGGACCTGCCTCTGTATTTGGTGTCAAGGCTGCACTGGATCCTCAGGGTCTTCCTCCTCTAATATCCAATCTAGACTCCCTTCATCTTCAGCCAGCATCTCTGTTTGTCTTGGTGGCTCATCTGGTGATGTGAGCTGGATTTTAACCCCTATTCCCCTAGGCATCCAAGCCCCTGGTCACCACGTATTCTTCAGTTAGATAAGGACTTGCCGAGAGAAGCCGAAGTAAACCACGTAGGTGTCAGGTGTACTCCTACCTGCCCCCCAGTAGCTGTCTCTTCCTGAGAGTCAAGATCAATTACACCTGTCACATTACTGACTCTTTTTGCCTACTGGTTCTCCGGCATGTAAACTCTGAAAGGCTTAGACAGTGACTTTAGCTTTTAGGTCAAGGGGAATCTTAATGTCTCCCTCGTAGAGGCAAACCTGCTTTGGTAACAACAAGCTTTAAGCTTACGGAACACAGAACTGCAAAGATAAAATACATGAGTCCCCAAATAAATCACTTGAAGCGATGGTGAGTAGGGAGACTTTTATTTTGATCTCTTGCTTGTTGGATCCATGCATTCTACTTGTTCAGGGAGCAGTGCCATATAGCTGCCACTGATTTAAAGGACATACTACATTCTCAATGATAGCACCCCATTCTGGTAAAGCACTGTCTCCTGGCTGGAGCATGAACTGTGCCTTTAAAGAGACCGTTCGATCATGTTACCAGATGACAGCTGCTGTTATATGATACAAACAGCTTGATTTTGTTATAAATTAACCCTCCTGACTGCCAGGAGAAAAAAGTAGGGAACTGTGATATGCTCATGGTGTCTTTCAAAACAGACATCTCTATCAAGCAATGGGAAACTCCTGGCCCCACTAGGAAGCACTCTTTTCATAAGAAGGAGCATGCCACTTTTGCAGAGTCAGAGGGTTCAGGGAAACCTGGGGATTCAAAATATTTAGAGCAGCAACCCAGATATGCTCATTCTACATGTCAGGGTCATTGTTTCCCAACAAGCCTCCTGCTTGCATGGCACAGCTGCCACGGTGAGGATTTTTCTTCTTTGAAGCTCAGCTACTTTTCCCACTAAGCTCTAGGTCTGGTCCTCAGCTTTCTCTGCCTTCCAGTTTTAAGAGAGTGGAGTCTCTTTATATGCAATCAATGAGGCCTTCTGGTCTCCACATTTACTTTTTAATCATCAATCAAACACTCTCAAGCTTAGCAGTAGGCACTCAATCCCACTGCCCTATGGTAACTATTTTCAACATCTCTCTTCAACACCAGGTTGTACCAGATAGTGCAGTTTTTGCCAGTGGTATAACATTGGTCCACGGCCAGTGAATGTTTTAGTAATTGTGCTGTTAGCTTGTGCCAGGGCCTCTCTGTGCTCCACCTGCCACCAGTGAGGTTTTTATCGCCAGCTGGTTGGCAGCTGGTCGAACTCCAAAATTCCGTTTTAGCCTCTCCTTTATTTGGACCATTCTTGGCACCAAGTGTCATGGGTTAGGTCCTTCAGGTAGCAAAATCTGAGATTAAAATTAGTGCGCAGTATGCTTATGAGGAAGCATGATTGGAATCACTGCCTTATAAGAGACAGGAGGCTTTGGCATGGGGAGACGGTGCATTGTGGTGCAGTCCTGAAAATGACCCAGGACACACGCATGGGGAGTGCTGAGTGAGCCTCAGGCGAGTGGTTTGGAGTAGGTGAAGCATCTGGTTCTTGACCTTATGGGTTGATCAGACAATGAATGTAGGCTGCTTGTGAAAGAAATTGTGAGCTTGGAATTGTGCATTCCCCCCCTCCAAAAAAAAGACTGCACCTGAGGACAGTCATCTGGCAGCACACCCAGAACCTGAGGGGAGAACTGGGTGGCACATAACAGCTTTCATCATAAAGTCCTTAAATCTGCTTGAACCGTGTCTAAAAATAATCAGGCATCTCTTATGTGATAGACATATTGACACTAGCTATGAACACCATATATTATTTCAATTTTGCATGTCCTGAAGTATCAGGCAAGCAAGTAACGTTACTTCACTTTGGACTTGCCTTTTTTTTCTTATGAGAATTCCACTAATTTTAGAAGAGTTTATATAGCAAGATGGAGCCACAGACTGGAGGTTATCCAGTACCATCTGCATTTGCATGTTCCAAAATTCCTCTTCAACAGAGAAGAGCGCTAGCAATTTCATCTTTACAATTTATATGCCATGATGTGGGAAAAGTATATCTAGTATATGAAAATTGTTAAGCCACAGTTCATTGTGCTATTAATTGGGAAATGTTACTGCCTTTTTAAATTTACTCATGGGTTAGCTAATCATCAGATACTCTTATTCAGTCTTAGACATCGTTAAAAATTACTGTAATAAAACCACCTCTCAATTTTGGCTTAAAATTAACAAGCATAAGTTATTACTAAGTTATGTTTGGTAAAACATTTATCTCCCAAATATTAACTTTTAAAATAAATATATTAAATTTGAACTTCGTATTTAAGATGATTTATTGGATTTTTATGAGTCAATTTTTTTACCTGTGAAATCTCCTGGGTTCAGTTTAACACTGTGACTGACTTACACGAGGCTTTGTTGCAGACTTCCTCCAAAGATCGGGGTGTACCAATCAAAGTGATTATTGCAGTCCCAGCTTCTAGGAGGCTGAGGCAGGAGGATCGTTTGAGCTCAGGAATTCGAGGCCAGCCTGAGTATCAAAGGGAGAGTCTGTCTCTAAAGGCAAACAAACAAACCAAACAATCACTACTAAAGGTAATACTTCTCAAGTGACAGTGTAACTCAGTGGGAAAAGAGCCTTTTATTTTCCTAATTGCATTTAGAAGGACTGAGTATGTACTTATTTCAAATTTAACAATGAAGTAAAAAAAAAAAAAAAAAAAAAATTTCTAGTTTCTAATAAAATCATGACATTAAAATAAACTAAATATCTGAATTGCTGCTTACTGGATGTGTAGCAAAACAAAAACCAGAGTGTAAAATTCGATCTTGCATTCCAGGTTGCACTGATTTTCTTTCTTGCTTTCAGACTCCCTGCATGCTAAGTGTGCACAATGAAAACGTTCAGCAAAAATAGTCCAGATCATTACCAATCAAGCCATCCCTTCAGCAGCAGTGAAAAGTGTAGTTAGTTTTCTGGTACAAAACAGTAATATTAACCCAATTACAAACAGTTAGCACAATGTCAAAGGTTGCAAATAGCATTTCCTGCTTTTAAGAACTTCAATGACAAGTAGTACCTAATTTCTTTTGAAAATGACTTTCTGTGAATATAACCTTTGGAGAAGTAAGTGAATTTTGAGCTATCCTTAACATCGAAGAATGTCTTAAATATGAGAACTTCACTATTTGTCTTTGATTTCAAAAGTTCTATCCAAAGCCTGAAAGGTTTAGATAAACTTCCTTTTCCAAGCATTTGTTGAAGTCATTGTTACTTGAAGATCCAAAGCCTTGTATTAAGCTTTTGTTAAAACCTCTTTCAAGTGAACTTTAGAGATTTTCAGTTCCAAGGAAAATGCAAGGAAAGGAACACCTATGGGGACTCTCATTAACTGAAAACTCAAGTGTTCAGCATGCCTGGCTATCCTGTGGAAGAGACAATAGGCAAAGTTTTCTGAGAAGGACCTCACAATCTCTCTGTATTCTACATGCATCAACTAACTTCTGTGACACCCAATTGTTCTTACCTATAAACTCCCAACTTTCCTCTTCCTGATGCCAAAGAGCATGTATCATGTACTCATTACGTGGGTATTATTGTGTTAACTCAGTAAGTAATCCAGCCTCAAGGTTAAGCATACAAAGATTTTAGAATTTCAGTTTCAAACATCAGCTCTGCCACTTTTCTTGCCATATATCAGTTTTCCTCATCTGTCAAAGGGTAATACGAATGGCTCCTTCCTGGAAGGATGTTACATGATTAATATTTATAAAACACTAACAACAATGAAAACGATATCAACAATATTTATAAGACATTAACAACTACTATAATTGAGCGTAATTTCCAACATTTTTACTTTTGTAAAAATATTAAATTTATTTATTTAAATACTCATGTGATGATATAATTTTGAATAATATATTGATGTATATGTGGACACATTAAGCACTTTAAGATTTGAATAATGTCCTCTGCTGTACAAAGTTGGATTCAAACCTATTATCTCACTTTTATAAGTGAAGAAACTACAGATCTGCTGAGTAATTTTAGCCGCTAGCTAAAAATGAGGCAACTCTGTAAAGCAATTGGAAAACAGATGAAATAAGTGATTAATAATAGAAACCAGCGAAGCCTGAGCGAACAGAACTCGATGGATGGAAAATAGGCTTTGGAGTGCACCACAGCTGGTGAGATGCAGAAGGCCCAATTCAAGCCACTTCCAACAGTGACAATGACTCATCAGAAACTACCATGGTTAAGTACAGGAGAATATTGAGAGATGAAAACTGCATTTCTTTTACCATCTGTCTGGAGACCTGGAAAGAGCATTCTTATTCCACAGTACGTCTTTCAGTCACTCAGCCCTGAGTTACTACCCAGGTTAAAGTTGTAGGGAGGCATACATTGGCTAAATATAGGATGCTCTTAAGGCTACTCCACAATGGGATTTGCTGCCTCCTGAGTTATGGAGCACTCTGTCACTGCAGAAATACACTCAAGGGTTGCACAGACATTTTTCAGGAATGATTGAAATTTTCCATATTGGGTTCAACTGTATATTCCCATGGGTCCATGTGAGTGATAACGTTCTGTGATTTTAAATCTTGTCAAGGTCATGCAGTGATTAAAGATAGGTTATACTTGTAAAAGATGTAACTAGAAAAAAGAGCTATTCAAGAAAAGAAACGTGACTTTTGAAGCTTCCTCAAAGGGGAGGTTTTTCACAGTGCACCTCCTGATATAAGACAAAAAGACAACTGTCAGCAGAGATGAAGGAAGTCAAATGGGTCCAAGGCACTGATGTGGGGCACTGAAGGCAAACAGCACGGGAAGAAGGGGGCGCACTGGGGTATGCGTCCTGACTTGTAATTAGGACACCTCTTCACATCCTTAAGAGGAAACACTGGCGGGGAAGAAGCGAATTTGAAACCAAGAGGGAATGCCTGAACAATACAAGGCTCTCTCTAGATACTAAATATCAACAAACTAAACATAAATAATTATGTATATAATTTATAATATGTATATACACAAAGGAAGGAAACCGTTAAACACAAAATACTTCAGTGAAAAATGCTTAAGTGTGCTATCTGAATTGTATATTCAGTAAAATAATTCATTTTAGCTAAAGAAATCACTGTGATTTTAGTTAGCTAGAAATATGCACTGATTACAAGGTGACGAGTTACAGTAATAATAATATTTCAACATATATTAATCACTTACTTTAGGTGGATCCAATGCTAGAAAGGTGCTTTAAAGGCGTTAATTAATCTTCCAATAACTCAATGAACTGACTGCTATCATTACCCCCATTTGCAGGTGAGGTGCAGAGCTATAGCTAAGTGATGTTCACAAAGGTTGGAAGTGGAGAAATGAAAAGCAAAGCTCCATTGGTCTGATTTGAAATCCCATGCTCTGGGTCATGTTTCAGCATTGTTTCTCCGCTAAGAGTGATCAGAGAAAAAATGAAATCAGATTTAAGGGGACTGATTCTCATTTAAGGTATTCTGCATGCTTCACCAATCCTGTTCTTCCCTTACCAGTGCCAGCGTCCTCTCACATGTCACGTGCCCATCTTCAAGCCTCAACAAAGTTCCCATTTATTTCACGTATCTCCCATACATTCCCTGCAAAAATGGCCTTTCCTTATTCCATGGGAAATGGTAAACTATGCATGCAAGTTTGTCAGGAAATGGCAGACTTAGATTTTTGTCTATTATACATGACCTGTTTCTCTAAAAATAGTTTAAGCAATTTGGGAGTAGAATGTTGTTTTTAAATATGGTCAGATTACATTGTCTGTATTACCAAATATGTAAACACTCTATTCTCCAGGAATAAAAAAAATCATAATTATAATTCAGAGTTTCTGGAACCATTTGAAGACAACTAAAGAGACCCACCTGAAATTCTGATTCCTAGTGGTTAAGTTTGGATAAGGCTGCATGCTATACCCTTTCTTGAAAATTTACAACAGCATCACATTGTAAGTACAGAAATGTTCTACATAATAGAGCCAATTTCTTTTGTTTGTTTGTTTGTTTGTTTTTTGAGATGGAGTCTCGTTCTGTTGCCGGCCAGAGTGCTGTGGTGCGATCGCGGCTCACTGCAACCTCTGCCTCCCGGGTTCAAACAATTCTCTTGCCTCAACCTCCCGAGTCGCTGGGACTACAGCCCCGTACCACCATGCCCAGCTAATTTTTGTATTTTTAGTAGAGACAGGGTTTCACCATGTTGGCCAGGATGGTCTCAATCTCTTGACCTCATGATCTGCCCGCCTCAGCCTCCCAAAGTGCTGGGATTACAGGCCTTAGCCACCCTGCCCAGCCTACCAATTTTAATATATTTAAATTGTACACATAGTTAAAATGTATTCTCAATGTAATATAATAATTTCCAGAAACATTTGACCTTGAAACCATTCAAAAAATGTTATCGGCTGTCAACATTTTCTAAAGTATGTTTGGATCTACACTGATAGTAAATATGCCCTTAAGTCTAAAAGCAAGTGATCTCAGATTGATATCAAACCACTAACTCTGTCACGATCAAATTATAGGGGACCTGTGAGATTTTCTCAGGGTATAAATGCTAATCCTTTTCCATTGAACCTTTAATTATCTTCACACAATTTTAAGAACTCATTGATTATAATTTTTCCTATTAATTTCAGAAAAGTAATTGGAATTATTTCTTCTAACCTTAAATAATCTTTCTAAGTGTTGTTATCTCCTCTCACCTTTTTTCCTTGCTAAGATGAAATGTCACATAAAGTCTTCTTCTTTTTACTCTGGTCTCATTGCAATTTGAAAAATTATAGAATTGTAACGTCTACCTTTATTTTACCAGGTGTCTGGTTACCAATTATTGAATTGTAATGTCTATCTTTATTTTACCAGGCATTTCTAGTGTCATGATATATATGTATTTTTAAATTTCCTATTATAGCTTTGCCAGATATGTGTGTGTTTCTAAAATAATAATGACATGCTCTCATCATTAGACAAAAAGGTTAAAAAATGATAGAAAAATGAAATATCTAGGTGTTACTCCTTCCATGTGCCAGTGTGGGCTTTTCTGTCTCACATGCCAAAACCTTTGATATGGGCTGAACTGTGGCATTCCCTCCCCCAAAGCCCACCTCTGCCAAAATTCCTATGGTGAAGTCCTCACTCTCAGTGTGGCTGTATTTAGAGAATTGGGCTTTTGTGGGGGTAAGTAGCTTAAATAAAGTCATAAGGATGAGGCTCTCATCTGATAGAACTGATGTCCTTGTAAGAAAAGGAAAAGGTGATTGCTCATTCTCCATGCACACATCAAGGAAAGGTCACATGGGACACAGAGAGGAGGCAGCCTCTGTGAGCCCAGAAGAGGGCCCTCCTCAGACCGCAACCATGCTGGCATCCGAATCCCAGATGTCCAGCTCCCTGAACTGTGAGGAAATGAATACCTGTGTTTAAACCACCCAATTTGTACTATTTTGTTATGGCAGCCCCTGCTGACAGAAACCCCCGTCAGAACCTCCGTGAATGAATCTGTTATCTTGTTTAGAGATTTCCTGTTTCAGTATTTTCCAGCACTCTTTCACTCTACCCTCTTCCTTTTTCATCTTATCTCCT